GCAAATGTTAATAAAATTAATAAATCAATCAATCCGTCGGAGAAAGAAAGAAAGACCTGCTCAGCCGTTGATTCAAATTTGGAAATTTCCGGTTACGCAAAATTACGTAATTACCTTATAGCATCAGTACTAAAACTGATAAATTCGACTTTTCCAATTTGTTCATCTAATCACTATTGAAATGAATTTTTCCTATGGATTATTCCAACACAATTTTTTTTATATATTTCCATTTCTAACCCCGCATTTTTTTTTGTTTCTTGTTTCTTAATTGTAGATTAATCAATTCACCTGTAGATAAAAAAAAATTGTAAAAACTGTTAATATGGAAAATAAAAAAATTGTAATTTATCAGTCTATTTTCAGTATTTTAACATCTTTAGGTCTTCCCTTATTGGAAGATCATCAGGATCTTGTAAATAAACACCGCGAAAATTTGAAGTTACCCGATCGTCCCTTGAATTTAAATACTCTTTTTAACGCCAAGGTTGTAGCTCTCCTAACTGAAGACGACCCTATGTTGAGCCCTATCGTAGAAGCACTTCAAAATAAAGTCGAGACGGTTAATGCGAACTCCCCTTATTTCAAACACTTTACCAGAGATTTACACGAATCCGATGGATTATCGTACATGGATGTCAGACTTGTTATACCGTTTACCCTGAGAAACGCAATGATGAAGACTCTCCATGAAACTCATCCTGGTCAATTTGGAAAGAAGTATTTGGCCCAATACATCTGGTGGCCCCATATTAATAGGCAAATTTACTTTCACGGAATAGACTGCTCAGAATGTACTATTTCGGGTAAGAATTTGCAAAGTATAATTCCCAATTCGCAGATCAGTGAACTTCCCGCTACTAAAACCAAACGAACAACTCAACTTAGATTTTGCTGGACCTTTAGATTCATATTGGTGGTCAAACAAAAACATTTCACTTTGCACCGATCGATTTTCAAAATTTTCTTCGGCAAAAATTACCTCTACAACCTCTTCAAAAACAGTTATCAATTTTCTGCAGATTATATATTCTTACATGGCATTCCCTATTCAATTAGAGTCGACCACGCATCTTGTTTTACAAGCCAAGACTTTAAAAGTTTTCTGCGACTCAAATTATATTAAAATATTATTTTGTACAGTAGGATACCATCGCTCCAACGGATTAGTTGAAAAACTTGTACATACTGTAAAAATCAAAGTGTTAGCCATGGACCAAGAAACAACAAAAAAATACATTACAAAACGCTGTATCAAAAATTATCTGGAACTTACGATCCACCTACCAATCAATAATTAAATGCTCTCCCTTTGGAGTTCATTTTAATAGAAAACCAAATACAATTTTAAAATATTTGGCGTCTGGTAAACCATCCATTGGATTTTTAGACAAGGGTAAATCTATAATATCTAAGGAAAGAGCAAAGGATTGGAATGCCGATAACAGAGCCGAAGACGGGTACAAGGACACCTTGATTCCAATGAAAAATGAACCACCAACAGAGAAGGGTTACGACTCGAATTACCCCTCCACCTCGAAAACTGAAGTTACTAGAATACCACTGCAGAGTCCGTTTAAAGGTAAACTCCTACGGTAAACGAATGGGAGCATCAACGGAGATCCATTTTTAGGGAACTAAACAAAAGGATCATAAATTTGTCTACTGCGACAGTAGAACTATCCGACGGAAAAATAATTCGAAAATCGGATATTGCTATCCCTTAATCAAAATTGACTAACATTAGATCCTTTAAAGGCAATATTTTTTCCCCTTACTTTCCTAACCTTAATGTTGAAGTGGGTCGGAAACGCGCGAACTCAAGAAGACAAATCAAAACCCGAAAACCACAACCCAGGACCCGACATCAGATTGAAATAGGATCATCGGACAACATGACAAAGACACGTGTGTCAAAGCCCTCTAAAAACGCTACTCGGAGAGAACCACCCGGTCCAAGAAGACAACAAAACCTCCAGGTTAATCTGGTTCAGACGGCTCTATGTAGATTCCCTCGGATATTTCGGATACTAGTGACTGGGAATGGATAGCGGGAGGTTTCCCATGTAGAGATGTATCCAGGGAACAATTTATTTCCGACTCACTAAAACCTTCCAACCAGGATGAGAATACCCATAATTTTTGCGAACCCAACGATAACTTTAAAGTTGAGATTTTAGAGGACATCACTAACCCAGAAGTCGACCAACAAACACAGTGCCCAATAAGCATCAATCCGGCGGAGACAGAGCCCGCACCGCAGGGCCGGGAGTCATCCACGTCAGCCGAGACCGCCACAATTGCAAAGGTGCTTGACTCACAGGACAGCTCGACTCTTCCGATGTAAGAAGATGCAACGACGAACTTCCCTGTCTACGAAATTGTAGATTCTTCTGACGAGACTGTTCCCGCGAAAAAACTTCAAACTAATCCTGGTAACGTTTCTCCTATTATTCTCCAGTCTAGTAGAAATGTAGGTCCTTCAAAGTTCTAAGGCAAAAGATTCTTTATAAATATTGTAGATCTACCTCAGGCGACCTCTGGTTCGGCATCAAACCCGATCATCTCAGAAAACTGCCATAGCGATAAACGGGACCACAACAACAGTGAAACTCCTTTGGAAATCGTCACGATCGACTCGGAATCCCCCACACCCGACCCAATCTCTTCCTCATCAACAGACGAATCCCTAAGAATGGCGATTGATAACTTTGAAGATCAATCAGAACTTGACATTGAACTTTATAACTTAGAATTAGAAAACTTTTTAAACTGTTATCGTAAGTGTAAATGATTATGCTTTGTCCATATTTGGCTTTGGTGCTATTTCATTTTCGCCTTCCTACAGACACAATCTCATACCATTTATCTCGTCACCTTTATTTAAAAAGTTATAGTTATGAATTACATTTATTCTGCACACTAATCCTTCGGATTAGTTAAATTTTCTTAGGTACCGTACGTCGCCGTACTCCTCTCTAATGCAGTTAATTGTTTTGCCATAGAATTCATAAATCATCTCGTCAACATAAACCTAAGATGATTTATTTTCCTTCCCTTTTATATTGGACCATATCCGCTGGATATTAGACATTTTACCTTTGGATAACGATTTCGCAATTCACTTAAAGATCCATTAGTCGTATTGAGTCAGTTTCGCTAGTTTAGTTACAGTACACTATCGGTGTAGTAAATTAAAATTTTATTCCCCAAAAGGGGGAGAAAGGATGCAGTTAGTTAATAATTAGTTAATTGTACAATTTAAAACTTTTCTGCTTAGAGGAATGATGTGATTCTCACTTTATATTTGCATTTACTGCAATTATTACGTAACTTGCTAACAGGTCACTTACTTACGACCTTCACTTTGCCATTCTCTCCGGCGGAGAGAATGCTCTCTCAGTTTTAAATGTTTTAACTTTAGACTAATTCACTTTTATTCTTTTATTCTTTTAATTGTATAAAGTAGATTTAGCTACAACAAAGTAACATTTTATCACGGTGTAAACCATGACCCCATTATTATAAATTTTGCTTAAATCTCCATTTTTAAAGTTAAAACTAACTTTTCAAGAGCTTTATGCTTTTGAACAGTTTAAACCATGAGTGAGTTTGATTCCGAGAATTTAAAAAATCGAGCAAGTTTTTTCCGATGAAAGTACTTAAATTGAAAAGAAAAACTGAGTTTTTGTAAAGTTTATGGATTCAAAAGTTTTCTATGTGATGCCGGAAAAAAAATTTTACCCTCAAGCTTTGTCGATCATCATTTCATGTCCTTTTAAAATTAAGGTATTTCTAGCTTAGAACTGGTTTGATTTCTGTAGCCTGGGTAAGTCAGCGCAGTATATCTTGACTATGTTTTCCAAACCTCTGGCTATTTGAAGATCATACCCTACATTCTGCCCTCGTCTAACTTTTTCGATTCTAGGTCAGGGAAGCGTTATGAAGCACCACACTAAATGGTTACAAGTTTTGCGTTTTGCATCAATGAGAGTGTTTCCATCAAACAAATTTTTGGCTTTTTTCAATCATTTTACTCCAATTTAAACAAGACCAGGCATCCAAATCGGTTTTTGTGGATTTTTTTTTTCAAATTGTTTTTCTTAACGAGCCATATTAATTTCATTTCTGTACAAAATTTTGATAGAAAAATGATTTTGATTCTTCGGTCTTTTGTCCTTCGACTTTTTTGTTTTTGTGGCATTGATGCACTATTTTTATGTGTTCGAAAGGCAGGTGGGGATCTACAATTTTCTTCAGGGGAAACGCATATTCAAAAAAAATGATTTTTCGAGCACTCCTAGAGTAAAATGATAGGCCAAAAAACTGATTTTTGGAGCACTCCTAGAACACTATTAAAACTCTAATTAATTAAAACTTTCTGAGCCGCTGAGAAATTTTTGAATAAAAACTCCAAAACCGGTGGTTTTTGGCCTTTTTTGGACAGTTTCGACCAAGAATTGCGTTTTTTCGGCGTGTGCTCCCCTCAAAATTATCATAAAACGGCACCGAAGGGTTAGGGTTTTAGAAACTTTTTTGGCTTGGTCGGCCAAACAGTAGGAAGTCGTTACGTAATTTCAAAGGGTGAGTGGGTCGAATCCCTAAGAGGGGTGGGGCGTCCGTTCCTTCCCCCCGCATCCGTCCCTGTTCGAGGGTATGTGAGTTTAAGGCAGTACGCTACAATCCTAATTTGTTCGTCCGCTGTCTTCTCTGAGATGATTTCGTGATTTGTTATTTTTTTCGATAGTTTGGAGATGAGTTATTGTAACGTAAGAAAGTTAAAACCTCTTTTTCATTTTCATTTGTCGAGGCTCAAAAATAGTTATTCGTGCTTCCAGAATGCATGTTGCCAAAAAGCACTTCAGGGATCAAATTAATTTAGTAACATTTTATGATTAATTGACGCATATTAAACTCGCGATAAGATACTAAATACTAAATTATTGATTTCTCATTTGGTTCAGTTGAATAAATAGCTGCCCCTAGATAGTATATTTCTCTTAAAAATCGATAAATTCTTCTTCATATTTGCACTTGGAGGCAATGTCTAAAGATTTTTCCTTCTGCTCGTCGAAGTTGTTCGCATCTCCTTCGTCGCCGCCGCTGTCAGGCACAAATGGTGGCTCCATCTACGAAACAAACAACATAAGATATTCAAAACAAATTGTCCAGCATCGAATCGCAACAAGAAATGTAGGTACAATTTGAAGGAGTCCTAATCTTATAGAACAGTTGTGGACTTCATGCGGTCTGTTTTTCATCCTATCCATATTCAGCTGGATACGAGCTAATCCTTGGAACCCTATTTTTCTCTCAGCAAATGTGCAAAAAATCTTGGATTGTGAATAAGGAGTTTACCTTTTAGAGCTACCAAGCAGGCTTGAAAATTGAGATGACAGCTAAATTAGTACACGGGAAAATTAGACATAAAGAAAACAAACATATAAACAAAATTATGAAAAATGAGGGACAAAAATTGCATTGAGAAATACCAAACGATTGCTGCACTTCGCTCCGCTGCAGCAAGTGATATAATGCGCGTGAGTCAGTGCTTTCGCTATTTCTGATTGCTTTGTCAAGAAACCAATAAGTCTCGACCTATGCCACTTTTTTTATTTTTTGAAAAGAAACATACCTGCATCTAAGAATGGTGAAAAGAAAATAATTTTTATGGATTTTTGTGGTCCAAAACATTGTCAATAAAATTGATTCCCATGTTAGGCTTAGACAACAAAATTGGACAAAAAACTGGATTTAAATCCAATTTTTCTGGCAAAAAAGTAATGGATTATAATTCATTTGAAATCCATTATAATGGATTATAAATTAAGTACAAAATCAGTTTAAAATGGATTTTTTACCACTTTATTTTCGTTTCGCGTCGTGCAAAGTTTTGCAAGAATTTCCGGTCCGCATTTAACAAATGAGTGATGCGAAGTCTTTGCAAAGTGAGTGTACGTCCTACTCCTTTTCTAAACCTAAATTCAAATTGCAAAAAAACTTTGTTGATCTCTCCCCCCTATCATTTGGCCCTTTGTTCCCTCACAACCCCCATTCCAACGTTTGCCTCTTTCCCCCGCATCTGAACCAACAACCCCCATCCACTTGAAACCTCCCACCCTCTGATCCCGTTCAGGTATGGTGTGTGTGAGGGGGGTTTGGTTTGGTTCAGTTCTGATTCATTTGGTGGAGGGGGCTGGTTCAGGTGGGGGCAGGGTTGGAATTGGTTCAGGTGGAGGATGGCGGGTGTAAGGATAAAAACGGGGCCAAGATGCAAACATTGGAGGGAATAGAAGCGGGCAATTGTTGAAAGGAACAAAATTTGGCTATTGAGTAGCATAAAAAAGAAACAAAATTATTAAATTTTTAAATAATCAAAATAATCAACTTAAATTTAAAACGTAGAAAAGACTTTATGTGCGTTGGAATTGGCATCTCAGCAAAATTAGAAAAAAAAACAATTATATTTGAGTTTTTTGTCAGTGTCCCTCAAAAGTGAAAAAATAATCGATTCTAATGGATTAAGAATGGATTTTGTTTCCTATAAAAATAGTAATATTATAATCCATTTTTAATTGATTATAATCGATTTTTTTCACTTTTGTTTAAATTCAATTATAATCGATTTTTTATCACGGAACTTTAACGCGAGTAGCCTTCAACTCCTTCACTCGTCAACCTGCCGTCTCAATTTTTGGGTTTCCATATAAAACAACAAAACAAATGCGAACAAACTCAAACAAAAGGAATGCAAATGGGTACTTCAAATGCGTTTTTTTGAGTTGGTTGATTTTGGACAAAAACTTATCGATTGAAAAAATTTATGAACTTAGCCAGAATTGAATGCCGTAAAATGAAAAGTGGAAACCACAAAATTGCCCAGTTTGAGGTTGTTTTGTCTGGATAAACTCAATCAGCTTTCTTAAAGTGTTATCTAATAAAGGATTTTTTGGCCAATTAATTTGTTTCATTTTGATCTGAGATAACTTCTAGCAGGACTATATCATTGCTCAAAGTGGAGTTTGAAAGAGAAAATGGCAATGAAGCGCGTCAATGTTGAAAAAAGCAGCATTTGGATTAAAAAATTAAATCTTCAGTTTTTTGAAATGAAAAAAAAAACTACTAGCTGGGAAAAACGAATAAAAGAAAGACGTTTTGGTTTTTATCTCAAGTCAGCCAAATTTTCCATTTTTTAAACTTGAATAGGATTCGCTCAGTGCATACTTATTTTTTTCAAAGAAAACTGGAATTTTCAGGAGGAAAAATTGAAATAATTCATATTTCCCCTTTAAAATGTCACTAACGCCGACGGACGACAAAAAAAGTCGGCCCCTCTCCTAAAAAGAGCAATGACTGGGACCTGAAGATATAAAGAGTATTTGGCCGTTTAAATTATATAGATATAGATGCCCAAACATCATCCAAATTCATCCAGATGCCAAAACGTCATAGATGCTCAAACGTCATCCACAATATGTTTTTTTAACGTAGATGTCCAATAAAAATGGTGAAAACTTTTTTTTATAAAATTACTTTTCGCTGGTAAGTGGCGATGTAGTCGACGGAAGCAAAGAACTTGTGATTCTTCACATCCTGTGTCCCGTTTCTTAGGGCTCCGTAGCGTCTCGTCACATCCACTTGGAGAAGGCAACGGACGATGTCTTTCAGCTGGGGAGAAAAATGTTCGGGAAATTCGACCTTAAAATAAAAATGATCCTGATAGAATGCTGTCAAAAATAATTGTTGAAACATAATTTCATATCGGTTGACGAGTCTTAAAAGCAGCCCGCTTCAGACATGCTATGGTAAAAAACATACAAAAATATGGTGCAGCGAATCATTGTGTTTTAAAATCGATTTTCAGTAAATATTTCAATTATAGGTTTTGAACGTGGCCAAGAAAACCAGAACTATAATCTTGAATATGTATCAGAGTCTGAGACAAAATGCTCCGCTAAGATGAACGAATTAATTATTCGGCTCGATTGGAACTAACCTCCCCCGCCACTATTTTCTCGTAGAGTTTAATGTGTTTCTTGGCGTGGAAAGGACAGTAGCCAGCTGCCATCTCGAACATCAGCACTCCAAAAGTCCACCAGTCAACAGCTTTCGAATAGCCCTAAAAACCAACCCATAATGACAGGTGTGGATCGATTTATCAAGAAATTTCACGATGGAGAATGTTTTCAAAACCGCTCTGATTGTTTTTAAAATGTATTTGCTCACTTTTTAGATAGACTAAAATGACGCACCGATAACTTTTTTCCTTTATTTTTTGCTGGGAGTGACAATGATCGTGCGTGATTATTTATTGATAGGCTAGATCAGGTAAAACTGTATTTTAGTGCAGTAAAGAAACATGAATGACTCTAAACTATTAAATTCTCCATTTAATTCTTTCGGTTTAAGTCTAAAAGCAAATGGTCGAAACAATTTTTCACGGCTCTGTGAAGTTTTTTGGTATTTTCTGAAAACCCGAGCACTAATAGGCGTTCTAAGTACAATTTCGATGGCCGGAACAGTTAGAGCATTTGAAAGATTTCCAACCTTGCTCAAAATAATTTCAGGTGCTAAATACTGCGGAGTCCCGCACAGAGTCCAGGCACGGCCATCAAGTCGTTTGCAAAAGCCAAAATCAGTCAGCTTTACATACCCTCTGTGGTCTATCAGAAGATTCTCTGGTTTCAAATCCCGATGAATCAGGTTCATGAAGTGCAAATACTCAAAAGCAAGTACGACTTGAGATCCGTAAAAACGAGTTCGCGATTCTCCAAATCTCTTTGCGTTTCTAAGATGGGTGAATAACTCTCCACCTGATACGAATTCCAGAGCTATGTAAAGATAGCTGTTATCCTAAAAAGATGCAAAGTTAGAATGTTACAAATTATTGTGAAGAAACGATAGTTTTGTCTTTTTTGACCTTGAAAGCAAAGTACTGTTTGACGAGAAAGGGAAACTGACAGCAGCTCAAAATCTTCTTCTCCCCTACAGTGTGAGATACTTGCTTCTGTTTCATAATCTAAAAAAAACGTTTCTGCAAGCAACCAGTGCCACTCAACTTAATCCATATATGAGCATGTGCAATTGTTGTATCAAAATTAATGTCTTGGATACGTTTTTGAGAAAATAGCAAACAATATTGTTTAGTTAAGTCTTAATTAAAAAGTTGCGTTTTTTGGTTAAAATTTAAACCAAAATTGTCCAAAAACAATCGAAAACTTTTGACGTGTATAACTTTTTTTTACAAAATAGGTTCTTGTATTCTCTGCAAATACGTTCTGGTTATTAGTAGATATGAATTAATACAATTGCCGATTAAAATCAGTATTAGGGCGCAGCCGTGAGTGTTCTCTGTGCTCTTTAAAGTGTATGCTATAGGCTTTTGTTGAAAAAAAAACTTGAAAAAAATCAACGCACAAAATGCTACATCGGCCAGTTTTTTTACAATTCATTTTCACAAAGACTGTTCTATTCATTTCGATAAAAAACCTGATCTTTGTCGAGTATTTTGATGGCTACAAATTTGTCCTTCTTGCTGTGCTTGTATTGTGCTAGCACCACCCTTCCAAAAGATCCACTGCCTAGTGTCCGCTTAATGTCAAAGTCATCTAGGGTGACATCGCTCTAAACGCCATACACAAGCTGCTGAGTTTTCACCATTGGAACTAACTTTTCATATCCTCAAAATTCAACTGATGATTTTTTGTTTTTTCTTTTTTTTTAGGCTGTAAGATGTAAGAATATTTTTTTTTAGGCTGAGAGAGAGAGAGAGAGAGAGAGGAGACAGATCTGCTGCTCTCCTAATCCCCCCAATGATTAACCCACTACTGCTCTCCCAATGATTATCGAGTTGTTGGACTTATTTACCATGAAGAACTAACTCAGCATCCATCACAGAGGAATCCATCACAGGCGGACCATGTGAAAGAAAAATATATTGCCCAATCAAAATTTGTCATTCAAAAGTCTGACAGAAAAAGGTGACCTTTTAATCTGACTTTTGGACTGAATAGATGTCATGAAAAGCCTCAAAAAATTCCGATACCAAACTGACAGTTCAAATTGAGAAATCTGATTTTGGATACCTTCGGGTTTTTAGACCATCTGTCGTCGAACTCTTCCCTTGCTTTGGTCAAATACTGAATAACTGAAAATCAGATATAAGTCTAGTCGAAAATCGCAATCGCTTTTTACAGCTAATTTGCCTTACAACACATTTAATTATTACAAATAGGGGCCTTACCCTCTAAACTCGCGACTGAATGGTTTGCAAATGTAGTTTAGAATATCTTTTTTATTATATTTTTTAGAATGAAAAATTCGACTTTTTTCTGCCGGCCAAATTAATTTTCCAAGCTCTCCCAAAACAATCGAGACTACTCCACCCCCTCAACCCCTCAAGCTTAGAGATCATTTGCATGCAGGCGCCTTTAGAAAAAAAACTGGCATGGTCATACAAAAAGGTTGCCCTAAAAAGTACGATAGGAGGACCTTTGAGTGATAGGGGACCTTTTTCACAGGGGGTCGAATCCCTAAAGGAGGCGGGGGCGTTTGCACTCTCCTAAATCAGCTTTTGATATGAACTATTTGCCGATTTCCCACCCCCTCGTAATCACACATTGAAGTTGATTGAAAATTTTTTAAACGGAATTTAGCATGTACGAATTATGCTTAAAGTATGTCCACTTGTTCAAACCGACCGCGTATGTTTATGCCATAGCTTCTTCGCAGTTCATAACATCGAACGTCTTCTTAAATAGATTTTCATCAGAAGATCACTAGAATTTCACAAAAAAATCAAAAAATGAAAGAGGGAAACTAGAAAGCGCCCTGATTTGATCTTCTGTGTTAGTAGGCCAGCCTTAACTATTTAATCTACATCTTCATTGTATATTTCATTCCATCGAATGGAAAAACTCTATGTTAAAGGAAATCATTTGTGCATTTGTGGTGTGGGAAGTCTCTAGGTCGACTCGAAACGTTCCACAAGAAAGTTTTAGCTAGAGTAGCTGGAAAATTGCTTACATCTTTTATTGGCTTCTTCACGAGAAATAACTTTTGAGCCCCTGAAAAAAAATATTGAAAGACGATGCTTTGAAATTCTTTAAAACAAATTTTCAGATCAATCGAACAAAGTGCTTACTTGCTTTTCTTCGGCGGCATGATTAAATTTCTCAAAATCAGCTACGATTTGTTGATATCATCTCAATTTTGTCCAGCAAAGCCTTTCAGTTGTAAAGCAGCTAGTATACCCAGAAGTCAATTTTAACTTTTTTAAACATTTGTGTTGATTACATATGCCGGAGCCAACGAAGTCATTTGCAGAGTTAAAAGTCATTTTTTAGTTAATAGCGTGCTTAACGGCCCGAGCCGAGACCAAACTACTTCATATCTGTTGAAGGAAAAACCGTTCTCAGTTTTCTTACCTTTTGAGAATTTTTGCCGTCCTAGAAGACTGATCATACATACATCAAAGCTGATCCAATAAAAGCAATACAAAACTAAAAATGATTTTTTTTTCTCGTCTAAGACTGATTAAGGCGGTTCTTTGAAATCCGTTTAAAATTTTTGTTTCACATTGTTTCCAAACTATGAATTCAAAATAATTTGATTTTTTATTAAACCGGGAACGCGCTAGCTTGTTTCCCAGAAACTAGTCTTCTACCGCAAGCATTCAGCTCAAAGAGCTGCTCACTGCCTTTACACCCTCCAAATTGGACTTTCGTTTAACCTTTTCTCGGTGATATATAACAATAGGTGGTAGGTTCAAATTAAATAGCTGGATCGCTTTTTGTTATACTTCGCACATTATATATAATTTGTTTCAAAAGCCAAATTGTTTGGCAAAAGAAGTGTAAATTTTGACTATTTGAATAGCATTTCATCTGGCAGAAAAATGTATTACAAAAACTATGTTAGTAGTAGTATAATTGATTGAAAATGAAATGACTACATTATGCATTATAGTTCTCAAATTTAATACATGCACTATACTCAAAATTACCATCTATTGTAACATGTCACCGTTTTCTCACCAATTTTTCCAATATTAAAAAAATTCAGTTTTTTTTGCACTTTAGGCGAATTTAAGACTGAAAACGCTTTAATGTTTTGAAACTGCCAGCTTCATCTCAATAAAGTTCACACTGCGTAGAAGAAATGGTTAGAGTGAAATTCCACCTTAACAAAATTTTTCTTCCTTCTGAACAGAAACTAAATCTAAAACAAGACTGCTCGGATCAGGGCGAAGCCCTGAATGTTCCGACTGCCTTTTAAGGTTGATGGAGCAGTAATAAAATGAAAAAATTCAATGCAATAAAAACAATTTTAAAAAAATTTAGAAAATTTGAGATTTTTCGTGAAAACATTCCCCACACGTCATATTAAGTACAAAGTGATAAATTTTGCTCCCCTTGACAATTCAATTATGGCATATAAGCTTCCTTGAACCAGTTTGGAACAATTTCTAAGACGGATTAAATTTCGCTTACGCGTTAATAGCGCGAATTATATTGCGCGCTAATTGTCCCAAACTGACCAAAATGGCAATATTTAATACCCCATAACTTAAGGAAAACTGATCATAGATGAAATATTTTTTCAAAATTAAGTTCAGCACAACAATACTTTTTGAATGATATTAAAAAACTGCGTCAAAAATAGCTAGTTAAAAAGTCAACGTTCTCACAAAACATTTTTCGTGTAAACAAGAGTAGCCGGTCGCTCCGCTAGTTGCACAGAAATTTACGACCACAGTCATTAGATAAAAGAAAAAGTTTTATTTTTCCAAATCTGTGGAATTTTTAGTGCAAGTTGCGATGAGAGGAAATATGAAAATTGGAAGTCAAAAACTTTAACAAAAAAGAGATGTCGTCCTAAGGAATTTTGACTGTTTAGAACCAATATATCCCTTCTATATTGACCGCTAAGTCCCTTCCCTAAATACCAGAAGCAGCAAGGGGTGAGCTGTGATCCGGTATTTGATGACAATCCCTTCGGTTGAAAGGTTGAATTTGGTGGTCGATCGATGTACTACACTGGGTTGCGCCCCTTTTTCTCAATTGCTCTTGACTGTTCTTTTCCTCGGAAAGAATCGCAAGAAACTGGATATAAATTGAATTCAGAAACAAATATATAAATTGCTGAGTATAAGGGTCGCTAAGTGGCCTGAATACAGTTTATTAAGTATCAATGAATTTAATCTGCGATAAGTTCCTGAAAGCTGCCTCTTGCAGTTCACTTTACAAACAATTCGAAACAAATCTTCAACATTGCTTCACAAAGCTTCACTAAAAATCTCGCGTCGAGAACTCACTTTAAATATTTCACGAGTCACTCTCAGGACCCGTCTGAGCTCTATAAGTTTCACTCCTGTTCTCTCTAACTAACTGAGAACCAACCGTTTGCTCTCACAGCACAATGGTCCTGACCAGCTCGGTGGTTGTGCCTTAATCGCGTATCGTTATCTTTATTTACTTTTGGTTCGGTCAGAGGCGTACCGTTCCCTATCCCTACTAACATTCACTTAACTAGCTGCCACTCAGGACTTATCAGCTGAATCAACCATTAGGTCAGCTTCAATTAAACATCGAGGTGGCACTTAGTTAATCAGGACATACTGAGCAAACACTGGGTTCAACTACAAAATCAGCTCCCAATCCCAAGGCCTGTGAAAATGTCAGGCCTGGGTAATTCCCTTCCCCCTGTCCGTTTTGATCCGAAAAAACACCACCAGAATTTATTTAATATGCTAGGGCTGTTCATTAAATCTTCATCCCGAAATTCCCATTTCCCCCCATAGATGTTCCTAAATTTTGTGCGGGGCTGTGTTTTTTTACTTGTTTGACGTTCTTATCGAAAGTCCAAGTGGAGTGGGTTAAGCTGACCCCAATGTTTGCTAATTACAGAAAGTCACTTTCGCTCGGGTACAAAGTTAAAAACTAAAAATTCTCAATTTAGGAGCCTCCCCTTACCTCCCCAGGCGGGTAGGTACCCCTTACGGTTCCTTACAATGCTAATTTATCAATTTTCAGGGGGTTCCGGGAGTCTTGGGGTCAAAAAATGCCAAATGACCTCTTAGAGGTCATCCGAGGTCAAACGCGTCCAAACGTCTTATTTTCGATGGGAGATCATTCCCACTAAGTTTCCTTCATATCGGACCATCCCTTCCCATATTTTCGAAAAATTTGGGTCAATTAATACTTTTCCCTAAAATTGCCATTTTCACCCCATAGAAAGTTCCGGAGAGGATTGGGTCAGCAGGGGTCCCCCTACTGGGTTGGGCCCCCCTTCACATTGGTGCATTAAGTTCACAAGTCAATTATCACTATCAGGTGTTAATAGCCTAATTCAATTTTCAAGTGCTAGTAGCTTCCGACGTAGCCGCCGGATTGGGTCCAAACATTAATACATTATAGGTCTCCCCCCAACCTACCATCCCCCCAAGTTCCAGCCTCCTAGCATTATCAGGGGTCGAGAAATAACGAAAAGTGGGTTTTGTTTACATAGGGCGTAAAACTGGAAGTAATAACGGATGCGTTCAAAATCCCGGTGGTGAACTTCCCTCGCCTAGGGCTACAACATATTGCAAAATAAAGTCATTCTGATCTTTATTTACCGGTTTACAAAAAGTGCTAATTGCATTTCGGAAATCATTATCACTCGCCCCCAGGGGTCTCAGGGGTCTGGAAATTGGCATGCCCGGCTAGAATCATCTCTATTAGTCACCCACCAATTTTCATAAAGATCGGACCAGTGGTTCCCAATCCGGGGTGGGGGGTGGGGGGGTCTGTTGAGACACATGGTCTGCATGGTCTGTTTTTTGTTTAGCTTATCGAAATTAATTAGACAATACTTGATGGAGGCTGGCCTCTCAAGTTTAAATCTACTATAATTTTAACTTCCAAGACCTCGAACGCCATCTAAAACCAGCTAATCTCTATCAAGATGTAAAGAAAGTCACAATTAACGCGCGATTTATTCCGTGCGATTAACGCGTTAGCGGAGATTCAAACCGTCCAAGAAATCGTTCCAAATTAGATTGAGTAGCATGCTCTATGGCCTATTTAACACTTTACTAGCTTCAAGCAAATTAATTCACTGTGTACATTATATAGCATATGGGGTGATTGACATATTAAAGTTCACAAAAAAAATTCGAATTTTTTTATTTTTTTTTTGAAAATTTCCTTATTTTGTAAGTTAAAACTACTCCATAGAAAATAACATTCTGTCAAAATATTCGAGGTTTTGCCCTGACGCGAGCACTCGTGATGATTTTATAAGTCAATTCAACCACCCCCCGCATTGAATATTTGTATTGTGGGTCCATTATTTACCTGGGAGTGGGGCTACAACAGTGAAAAGCCTTCTCTATGATAAATGATACCAGAATTTTGAAAACCTCAAAAGCTTTTTCTAAATGTTTTCCTCCTTTTTTCTCGAAAATGTCATCATTTTTATAAAAGTTTTGATTAATCCATAGAAAACAAAATGCAGTCCAAACATTCAAGGCTTTGCTCTGATACGAACAGTTTTGTTGATTTTTGAAAAACCATCCCCTATCCCTCAGAACTTTTATATTTTGGGTCTATTACTTACAATGGAGTGGATCTATTATTTACAATGGAGTGGGGCGAAAACAGTAAAATCCTTCTTTATGATAAATAATGGCTATCAGGGTGCTCGAAGCTGTAACTCCATTCCATTTAAGCATTTAAAAAAGTTTAGTATTTGCTCCTGCTTCTTTTTGTTCCGACTTTTGATACGAAAGTGACGGAATATTTGTGCTCGGGGTGGGTTTTTTTTTCTTCAGACAAATTTCGAATTTTAAATAGCCATTTTTTACGGATTTTTTCATTCGAAAGGTATTGTTGTCCTGAGCTCAAATTTGAAAAGATATTTCACCTGTGATCATTCTTCGTAAAGTTACGGGGGTTTAAAGTTTGCCATTTTGGCCAAATTGGGACAATTAACGCGCGATATATTTATCGCTTTTAACGCGTAAGCGGAGAGTTAATCCGTCTTAGAAATCGTTCCAAATTATCCTTTTGTACTTTAAATGGCGAGTGGGGGGATGATTTTCATTTAAAAAAAAATCAAATTTTAGAAAATAATTTTTTTTTCATTTTGTTTTATTTCATTGAGTTTTTAAATGTTATTACTGCTCCATAAACCTTAAAAAGCAGTCGGAACATTCAGAGCTTCGCCCTGATACGAGCAGTTTTGTTATTATTAGTATTTCATTCATAAACGTATTAAGAGCAAGACTGCTCGTATCAGGCTAAACTTAAACACTCCGACTGCACTTAAACTGGTATCGAATAATTGCTGGTAAAATATGATTAATTCAAAAACTGGAATTACTTTTGTCCCCAACAGCTAAAATATAAAAAAAGTGCTATGAATTGATATTTTTATAGAAAACTGATTTTTGATAAATCACGCAATTCCCAGACAACTTTTGCGGTTTTTCAGGATTTATTGAAACGACAGAAAATAAAAATTTAAAAAAAAATGGTTCAGTTTGCAGCCATGAACGGTAAATGATGGTCACCATGCATTTTCGGAGTAAAAATTGTTGACTATAATCGGTGAAAATGGATTTAATTGCTTGGAAAAGAAATAAAGTTATAAGCCAAGTTATAATTGATTTTTTGTATTGTTTATAGAGTTGAAAATGCAAATTATAAATAATATCGATTAGAATCCATGTCAATCAGCTGCGCATTTTTGAACATTAATTTTAACTTCACAGATTTTAGAAAAAAAGTTTGAATCAAATTAGTGCTGTCATTTTGATTTTTTAAGCTTTGCTACGTTTTTTTCTCTTCTTCTATCATGAGTTTGCAAAAACCTATCTTGCTGGAAAATATGGATCTTAAGCAAATTTGAGCTTTGCGGGATGAGTTGTCGACTTCACAAAAATATTTACGTTTTCGACCAAAGCTAAAATGTGTTCCATATTCTTCGACACAAGACCCAAATGTGCTATGTTTAGACCAACTCGACCCAAACTGGCTATGTTTCGACCGACGCGACTCAAAAAATGTGTTCGACAGTGTTCGACTCAAGCATGCTATGTTTCGATCGACTCGGCCGAACGAAAATTTTGTTCGACTATGATCAACCCAAGTGTGCTTCGACCGACTCCACTAAAGGAAAAATATGCATGATTTTTTTTATCAAAGCGTGCTATGTTTTGACTGAATCGACACAAAATGGATAAGTTTCGACCTAGTCGACCAAAGGGGGAAAATATTAGAATTTGTTTGACCCAAGCATGCTATGTTTCAACCGACTCGACACAAACTGGCTATGTTTTCGCTTCGATTGAGTCGACCGAAGGAAAAACATGTTCGTCGTTGTTCGACCCAAGCTTGCTACGTTAAGACCGACTCATTTTAAAATGGCGAAAATTGATTGCCCATTTTAGTTTCTTTTGCCCCCCCCCCCCCCAATTTTGTTTCTCGGTTCATTTTATTCCTCTGCATCAAATCTCAGTTTCAATTAATCTGGTTTAGTTGTTTTTGATTTCCTAAGTAAAGTGTTAGTTTTTTTTATCTCTAAAACTTTGTATAAGATACGAAAATCTGTTCTGCATCTGTGCAAAACAAGAATATACTGCTCATAAGCGTAAGAAAAAAACTCTTATACTTTTTGAACAGTGAACTCAGCTTTTTTGTATAGGATACAAGATTTTGGACGAAAATTTGGCTTAACGTTTACAAAATTTGGTGGCAAGAACGCATTGAATTATTTTTGACTATTTTGTCTCTCAAAGTATAAAAGTGAAACATTGCTCTCAGTTTAACTGATTGAATTTACTGAATTCAACCTCATAACAGTCCGAAAAATTTATACCTGTAAAGTACGTTCACAAGCGAAGCTGATTTGTACAACATGCATAGCTCTAAATTAAAATCAATATTTTTGTTTTGATTTGAACAGTCTCTTGGCCAATGAGTCGAAAAATACCAAAGCTGAAAACTAAAAATAAAACCAAATCAATAAATCGTTGTCAAAATATAATTTAAATTTTTGAAACAGCTTACAACGGAGAGTATTAATTGAAAAGTTATGACCGAAAATTCGGCAGCATCCTTTTTTCAAGAGCTGGATTTGTTTGAAATTGATATGCCAGGTGGCCAAAAAATTCCATTCAAGAACAATAAAGCTCTGTTGGATTTGTTGAACATTCAATATCCGCATTGGCGAGAAGATGGACACGTGACGTCGGTTCCAATTGCACGGGTTCCTCGATTATTTCTGCATAATTTGCAGATGTCAAAACAACTGGCAAAGGAGTTTGCTTCTCTGCAAAAAGGAGAAGGTGGCGAAATCAAACTGTACAGACTGCTGAAGGATGCAAAATATTCGAACGGGAATGGAGTCGTGATTTTTCCAAATGTAAACGGGCGAGAAATCTTCAAGAGTACGATGGCACATGTAGAAATTGACACTGTTTTAACGCACCCATCCAAGGGTATATTCGTGTTCAATGTAAAAGCAGTGGGAGGCAGATTAACTCCTCAGAAGTTGAAAGGAGACATTGAACGTCATGGAAACTTTTTACGAAAACTATCCCAATATAGCTCTGACAATCCTGCAGACCTGATTCCTATTCACTCAGTAGTTTGTTCAATGCACGACGACAACAAAAAGAAGTTCAGTTCGCTTTTAAATCTCGAGCACGATAGAGATCAAGTTTTGATTTTTAGCAAGAGTGAACTGAAACCGGACACTTTTTTGGCAGCGTGGGAAGCTCAGCTGAATACACTTCCAGATTTCGACGACAAAGAAAGTTTTGATATTTTAGTTGCGCGTCTCGTGGCTCTCAACTCGATTGAAAGCTCTCTAGCGTTGATTCATGATCAAATGGCGTCCAATTACATGCAGGCTACAAATGAAAACAAGAAACAGTTCGACGAATTTGAATTTGGTGAGGACAAATCGCTATTGGAGGGTCACTCGCTAGTTGGCACAGACAAGAAAAAGCGGTTCATAATCTGGACACAGGAACAACTGAAAATCATAGCCTTTGTAACAAAACATCTGCTTGACCCTAGCCGTAGAGGCTTACGACTTCTTGTAACTGGCTGCAAAGGATCCGGAAAAACTATGTTGCTGGTTTTTATTGCCAAACTCACTGAGAGCCTTTTTAACAATCCAGATTCCGATTGTTCAAGTTATGGAAACGTAGTTGTTTGTGATGGATACTTCAAGTCACCAGTGCTGACAGAACTACTTAAGCGTCTTCTTGCTTCAACGGGAGCCTTGGTCTACGAGGCAGCAAGTGAGATACTTCATATACTTAACAATCAATTTTTCGCCATAAAAACATCAATACCATTTTTCAGTTTTTCCTGGCTATGAATAACATTACTTTCTGAAAATCAGATGTCAAAAACATGACTTAAACTAAAAATATTATTGAATGCCATCAATCGTCTTCAAGATATAGAGCAAATTTCAACGCTTAAAATGAAAGGCGCGTAGAACGCACAATTTTACGCTGGTATTATGCACAAGGGCAGGTTCAGAGGCAGTCCCCTTCTTTGGGAACTCAACGCGCCCTGTCAAGTCAAAGGACCCTTTAGAGCTGATTTCCTTCATCCGAAGGGAGGGGAAGGGGGAGGGGGAGGGGTAAGAGTCACGCATGCATTCAAGGGAGGATGTTGGCGAATTTAGGGACGTATACATTCAGGGGCGTCCGCCCGACTCTCAAGATTTGACCCACTCACCCCCCAAAGGGTCCTTTTGGTACTATTTTAGTAATTTGCTACTATTCCCCCTCGAGAAAACCCTAGATCCCCTGAATACATTGCTCTATGATTTGCTGGCGCACTGTGATTAGTAACCGCTGGATACTAACCAAAATATTGAAAAACCACTTAAATTGTACTCAGAACCTGGATTGGGATCGACTGCTCGTGATTCAAACAAAGAAGCACCACGATTTGGCAGTGACTTTAAAGATTATCTGAAGAGCGCGCGTGTTTTGTTATGCGATGAATTTGGTCTAATGACTACCCTGAAGTATAACTAGAAGTTTTTAAGATGAAACAAAAGCAATTTTGATTGTTGTTTTTGATCTTTGTTGTTTTTGAGCTCAACTTTTTACAGAAAAAAAACAGACCTTCGCAAAACTCGTAATAGAAAAAACATAGAGAATGAAAAACAACCAGAATAAAAGCATTAAAAATTTACAAAATAATTAAAATGATTAGAAAAACTGTGCAGCTGAGCGAGCCCCAATGAACATTAATCGAAAACATTGTAATTTCAATTGTCAATATCTGAGAATCAAACCAATTGAATAAAATCGATTGAAATGGTTCATAACTTTATTACTTTTTAAAACAATTATACCCATTTTAATTGATTTTAATTGATCAAAAATTGATTATATTAGGTTTTTTATCCATAAAAAATGTTTCATAGTCCATTTTTCATTAATTGTAATCGTTTATTTTTACCGTAAAAGTGAGTCTTTACCATCGTTCACCAGTCATGTTTGTACACTGGTCTTTTTTACTTTTTGATTTCCACCCTTTCAACAAGTCTTGAAAAAACACGAAATTTGCCTGGGAATTGCATGACTCATGCACAATAACTTTTCTATGGGACTCAAATTTACACAGTCACGGGACATAGAAGTTGCAACTTTTAGTTTTCAAGCGAGAAAATGAACTAAAATCTTTCACGTTTGCGCTGTGTTCTCTACGACTAATAAAGAGTCACGGTTGAAAATTTGACATATGATGGACGAAATTTTTTTGAAGAATAACTCTAAAAGAGGGTCTTAAGGCAACGTTTGGGCATTTAATTAAAGGGCAAAAGAGAAGTGTTCTTAGTGCTAAAAATTCACCGTAAAAAAGCAGTTTGAAAAATTGAACCCTATTCGTTGGAAATCTAAATAATATTCGGCTTTCATTACGAGGCCAAACTGTGCATTCTCTGCATTGTAAGCGGCATCCGCAACCTTGCTACTTTTCTTTGATCTTCTATGCTGTTTCGGATTCCACAAACAAATACCTAAATCATTGTACCGCTCAAAATCGCTCGAAAATAGGCGAAGTTGCGGAATCCGCAACTGTGTTTGCGGAATTTAGAACCGTTTGTGGAATCCAGAAACAAATGATAAAACATTTGTGTCGTTAAATTGAGCTGTTGCGGAATCCGCAACTGTAAGTGGAATCCGTAAATTGTAATTGGAATCCGCAATTTGTTTGCGGATTCCCTTCACATATATTCATATGTGTAGCAGCCTTTAAAATTATATCTTTTAAATACGTGATTTGATTTCACTAGAAAAGAAATTTACTAGAATAGAAATTTACTAAAATAGATCAGTGTTTGGGGTTAATGGATTCCCAATCACTGACCAGTATTTGGGATCGATGAAATCCCAAATACTGAACTAATTCGTCGATTTGCTATGCGTTGGGTTCCTAATCACTCTCAACCTAATGACTCCAAATAACGGATATATTCCATGTTTATTCCGCATTATTCCAGTTTTCGGGATTCCATCAATCCCAAATACTGACCAGTATTTGGGATCGATGGAATCCCAGATAATGACCTAATTTGGCGATATGCTGTGTGTTTTATTTCCATACACTCAACCCAATGACTACAATTACTGCATTTATTCGGAGTTATGCTTCCAAAATCAGTATTTGGGATTGACGCAATCCCAAATACTGACCTAATTTGTCGATATGCTGTGTGTTCCATACACTCTCAACTCAATGACTCTAAATATTGAAATTGTTTGGTATTGTGCTTCCAAAATACTAAAAGATGACATCCACCGATTTAGGTAACCAATGTCTTAAGACTTGTTCGTGGATTTCGCCAACAATGGTTAGGTCTTTGCTTTTAAATTCCGCATTGCTAGAGACAAGAATTCCAGCTCAGCTTTTAATTGTTCATATGCAAGTTCAGTATTGAACAAAATTCGGAATCCACTTTCAGTTTGCGGAATTCACTTACATTTGCAGATTCCGCTTACATTTTGCGGAATCCACTTACAGTTTCGGAATCCAGAAAATTTACGTTAGAGGTGTATGTATGCGGAATCCGCTGAAATTTTTTTCGTGGAGTCCACTTACATTTTGGAACATACTTTACGACTTGTCTCTGGTATCCAGGAACATACAGACACAAAATTGTGCTCCTATCCAGTGCACAGTTAGGCCTCGTAATGTTTGCTGTTTCCGGGGAATTTGTGGTACAAAGAACACTTCTCTGTCGCCGTCTAATTAAATAGCCAAACGGTGTCCTAAAAACATTTTTAACGCTTTTTTATTTTGTCTTTTTTTATGAGTCCTAAAACTGGTTAAAAAATAAGTACGTAGGGCGTTATATCGAAATTAAAAGACTAACAAAATTGATTGAAATATTTTTTTTTCAGGTTTTTATTCTAAGTTTATGAATGAGTTTAGAGTTTTCTGTGCTACTGGCAGAGGAACCGGTTACTCTTGTTTACTGAGAAAAAATTGTGACAAAAATGAGCTGTTTATTTTAGATTATAAATATGGATAATCAATCAGGCCTGCTTTATAATGTGTTCATTTTTTTTTCAAATTGGATTGCTGTTCCAAACACGAAGTGGAAAGGATTTTTGTATACGGGTGGGTGCTTTTCTGCTAACTTGAACTTTTTTCCACGCAAAGTGAAGTTCAGATGAGTCTGAGTGATACAACACTCAGTTTAGAGAAAAATTGGTAAGAGTTTTGCACGAAGGTCCAATTCAGAGCGTGCAAAGACAGTGAATCTAGTTAAAAATTTCATATAAGTTCAGTGGTAGTTAAAATTAAAAATGAGACTTGCCTGAATGTGATTAATATTGATCTTCAATAATCGTCTGCCCGAGTCGAGATTTTTCACCTAATTTGAAGCAAGATTTGAGCGGTTTGAGCGGTTTTTTTAGACAATTACGCTCAAAATCTTGCTTCAAAATGAGCGGTTTGAGCGGTTTTTGAACGGTTTATCTAAAAAAACCGCCCAAAAACCGCGCAAGATTTGAACGGTTTTGAGCGGTTTATCTAAGAAAAACGCTCAAAAACCGCGCAAGATTTAATAATAAAAAGTCGACCACAGAGGGATTCGAACCCGCAATCTTCTGATTTGAAGTCAGACGCATTATCCGTTAGTCTGTGCGGACTTGCTGGAAGCTTAATATTCGCTGTATTTGTTCTACTGAATATGTTCAACGTTTTAGACATGCACAACAAATATAACCGACCTAACCGACCTAACCAACCGTGGGGGGATGGTTAAACGTGAGGGGGTTACGTTGTGGGTTGGGGGGGGGGGGTACGTTGATGGAGGGTTCGTTGGGGGGGGGGGGGTCGAACTCAAGAGAAACGTTGAGTCTGGGACCTCGACCCGGGAAGACCGCTCAAAAACCGCTCAAAAACCGCTCAAATCTTGCTTGAAAAACCGTTCAAAAATCACCGCAAGAAATGAGCGGTTTTTGCGCGGTTTTTTAAGCAAGATTTGAGCGGTTTTTCCAAAAAAAAACGCCCAAACCGCCCAAACCGCTCAAATCGCTCAAATCTTGCTGGAAAACCGCTCAAACCGCTCAAATCTTGAGCGGTTTTTGAGCGGGATCTCAACCCGGGTGTCCACAAATCGATCCTATTATTTTGTTACCAGACAGGCAGAAAATGCATAAATCTATTATTATTATTATTAATTTATACTTTTTAAAAAATAGAAAACATCTAAAACTATTTCACTTCCGTTTCAAAAAGCTTAAATCATTTTGGTGCCTACTTAAATTACCTCAGACAAATGCTTCAAAGCGGACATCGAAAGATACAAGACTTTGCCCAGTTACAAGTAGTTTTTTCAAAATTAAACGTTAGAAAACGCTTATTTCAACAATATTTTTCAAAGAGAATAAAAATCCTTGTCCGTAGCTGAGCAAGTAGTCCAAAATTTTGCAGCTACAGGTTGCCTCAATTCAGTTTGGAACAATTGTTGGATCAAACTTCTTCGCAGCTTGCACTTCATGCTAATAAAAACTCTAAATTTGTTGAGATTTTTTTATGTCCCAGATGAGATAAATTTAAGCCCCGCAAGACTTAACACAAATCATTATAGGAAAATATCTTGTGGCGGGACAAAAACTGTAGAAAATTAACTGAACTAAAAAATTGATCTTTTCACCGGAAATTAATTAGTTGGCAAAACAATTTGATGGTCAGAATTTCGAAGAAAAGACTAGCAAGCCCGCCTTCAAATGATTAATCAGCTCGCAAAAAGTTAGTTGCTATTTCTATTGAAGCCATTCGAGCGATGAAACTTTAAATACTACACTTCACAGACCAAATCTGAAGAGGATAAATTAAAAATTTTCTAATTAAAATTAAGCCAGGAAATATTTTGTGTTTCTTTTCTATCATTTTCTTTCAAGTTCGCGAAAAGCGTAGAGTTTTCTAAGCAAGCAATTCAAGCAACAAAAATTTGAAAAATTTCAAGTTTTTTTGTAAACCGAATTGGTTTGCGAAAATTTAAGTTTTTCTAAGCAAACTATCAGAGCTATGCAACTGTGAAACATTTCAAGCTATTTCATAAACCGAATCAGCTCGCAAAAGGCTTTATAATTTTCGAAGCAAGCTATTCAAGCTATGAAACTTTGAACTATTTCACGTTATTTCGTGGACCAAATCTGTTCAAGAAAAGTTAAAAATTTTTCTAAAGAAGCTTTTGAATTATTCCAACTTATTTATTTAAACGAATCAACTCAAAAAAACTAGCTCTTTAGCTATTCAAGATATGAAAAATTTCATGTTAGTTTATACACTGAACCAGTTAGCAAAAAGTTGACTTTTTAAAGCAAGATTTCCAGCTATGAAACTTTGAAATATTTCAAATTACTTCCAAGACTGAATCCTTTCGAGAAAAGTTTTAGCTACTCTGAGTAACCTATTCAAACTATGATACTTCAAGTTATTTCATAGACGGAGTCGGTTTGCGAAAAGAGTAATTTTTCTCAGCAAATTATTCAAGCTACAGAAATTTAACATATTCAAGTTATTTTGTTAACCAAAACTATTCGCTTGAGTTTAAATTTTTGGAGGCAAGCTCTTCTAGTAATGAAACTTCAAATAATCCAAGTTATCTTCAGAAAGATCGAATCGGTTCGCAAAAAACTTTAGCTATTTTGAGCAAGCTTATCAAGCTATGACACTTTGAAATACTTCAAATTATTTCATAGACCGAGTCGGTTTGCGAAAGTTGAAAGCTGCTAAGCAAATCATTCAAGCTGCAAAACTTGGACATACCCAAGTTGTTTTATAAATCAAAACGATTCGCTAAAAAATTAATTTTTGGAAGCAAGCTCTTCAAGTTATGAAACTTCAAATAAACCAAGTTATCTTCACAAAGACCGAATCGGTTAGCAAAATTTTCCTAAGCAAGTTATTCCAGCTGTGAAGCTTTTTTTTCAAATCATTTCATAGATCGAATCGTTTTGCAAAATGCTTAAGTTTCACTAGGCAAGCTTTTAAAGCACTGAAGTTTTGAAAAATTTCAAGTAAATTTGAAGGTCACCTCGGTTTGAGATAAGTTTGCTAAAAACATAAATTTTTCGCAAAACGGTTAGGCCTATGAAATAGCTTCAAATATTTCATAGTTTTTCTGAGCACGTTATTCATGCGATGAAACTTTGAAAATTGTCAAGTTGATTCATAGAGCAAATTGACTGGCCAAAAGTTTCAGTTTTTCTAAGCAAGCTCTCAGTTGCAGTTTTTCAGGCATTGAAACTTTGAGTTATTTTAAATTTTCATGGAGCAAATCAATTGGCGAAATGCGTGTTTTTCTAAGCAAGCTCTGCAAGCAATGAAACATTGAATACTTAGAGCAAATTGATTTGTAAGAAGCTAGTTTTTCTAGCAAGGAGGTTGCTGTTTTTAGTTAGTTTGCCTCAGCAAATCAATCTGAAGAGACAAAATTTCAGGAAAAATGGACAAATACTGTCTAGCCATAAAAATGAATTCAGTTCATCTTGTCGGAAGAATTGAATTTTTGTCAAGCCTAAAGAAATGTTAAACGTTGCTTTCGACAAAGCTAAAACATTGCTTTCAGTTAAACATTGCGTTCATAGCGCATTCCGACTTTAATTTAAAGTATACGATAAGATGGCATATTTGTGCTCAATGTGGCGTGTTTTCTGCAGGTAAATTTCCACTTTCAACTAACCATTTTTGGTTGGATTTTTGATTAGAGAATCAGAAAAAATGAACCCCTTGCAATAAAATTTGAACGATATTTTTTTTGAAACTTTTTTCAAATTTTATCAATTTTTAAATTTCTTCAAAAGATTATTCATTTTTTGGAGCTTAAGAGGCATTCGGAACATCCTAAGCTTTTTATTGATAATAGCAATCTTGTTAGGTTTTTCTAGCTATACTTCTGCTTATTCAAGCAACGATCACAATCCAATGCTTGAAAACTTGAGAGACGACCAGCACTGTGTTCTTTTCACCTCTCACAAAACGATTAAGCCAAGCGATGATTACGATTGCTTTTATCTTAAGTCATATCTCAGGTCAACCTGCGAAATTGTCACTTTTGCTGAAAACTGGCGAACTTTTCAACCAAGTTTGAGCATGCATGAAAGGGAATGCAAAATTGCGCACAATTTTCACGGAGAAAAACCAGAAATTCATTTCGTGGCCAGGAAATCAAATATGACACGTGAAGGCAAAAAATTTGAAGCTGAGTTTGTGGAGAAAAGTGTTTCTGTTATACGAGAGTATTTCTACAAATCGCAGGGCCTAAATACTTTACCGGTCATCACACATATACCGCAAGATTTATTAAAAAACGTAAAAGATACATTGATGATTGAAAAAAATCCGATTGAAGGAACAGAGCATCTTTGCCTCAGCGACACTAGGTCTACGCAAAATAATCTGCCAACAGTGTCCTTTTATGGTATTGACGAGGTTGAAGGCGCAGAGTTTGGGATGGTCATATTTCTTTTAGGGCTTTCGAGCTACGAAAAAGAAGAACTTGAGCCTTTTTTTCTGACAATCATTTCGAGGTCATCCACAAAGCTTGTTATTGTTCAAATGAAAGACAACAATATAAGCATTGATTCGAGTCCTGCAGAAATTTGCAGGAATGAGGCGGCGTTCTTGGAAAAGACCATACTCCGCGTTGCCGAGCGAGGAACTGGTTTAATACTGGTGGGCACAAAACACAATTTCTCAAAAGTTGAAACTATCTCCGAGTCAACAGAGAACTCAGAACACAAAGAAAGAGACATGAATCTTCCAAAAATTGACGGTGTTAGATGTCTTAAGGGTCCCAAAGGGACTCTCGTTGCTCAAATAGATGATATCTACAAACGAAAAGACTTGAAAAAACTTCTAAAAAGCGGCGTAAGAGATGTCGTTATTGTTGGTTGTACTTCAAAATGCGACTGGGAAAGAAAGTTCTATGGCAGCACCAGGAAATTGATAAACTTTGCAGAATACTTTAGAGTGACATCGCATTCCGACCGAAATGGCCAAAGCGTGGTGGAAAATTTTCTGAACCAAGAGAATAGCGAAAACAAGCCATATGTTTTTGATTTACAAGAATATCAAAATGTTTCCTCAGAAGAAGAGGAAATGCCCAACTCGGATGAAATATACTCAAGATGGGAGATCTGGAAAAATAAAGCGACCGAACATTGGAGGCTCAACGACACGGTTGGAGCCCTTCATATTTTCACAGACAGCAAGTCATTCCTCACGCGCCAATATGAAAGACACGTTCGAGAACGCCAAATTAGTTTAGCAATGAGTGATCGAAAACACATGGCAAAAATGGACACAATCATTGGTAAAATGTGGCTGGAATTTTCGAAACTTGCTGGATTTATTTATTTTCACTCTGGAAGCGACAACCTATCCTCTGGAGCATGTTTCACAAATTCAATGAGAAGTGCTTTGTGTGGGATAGTCGAAAATGCGTGCCGGGAGCAAGGCTACCAATTCATATACCAGGTGATCCAATCAGTGCGGGCTAAATATTGCAGAGCAATTACAACAGCCAATGAAAATAACCAATCTTTAATGAGAGCATTGGTGGAAGAAGACGTGGAGTTTGGGGGTGTATATGGGCTGCGTAAAGATGATTTGGAAACTACGGTTGACGATATTTTGGAAACATGCGAGGGATTAGAAATGCAACGAGAATTGTATGTAAAGATGATTTCGGACAAAAAAGTAGACGAGATGATAAAAATGCGAACACAATTGGCTGATGAGCTTTACGAGTTGTCAGCTGCAATGTTGAACAGATTGAAGGAAAGCAAAAGAAGCGAAGGCAGTACATTTATGCTATTAAGATTCAATTTGGTGGTGGTGCAAGATCTGATCAATACATCTTTTCGATTTTCTTTGGAAGCACTAGAGTGGGACCCGCTTCACATAGAAGCAAAAAGGATCCTTCACGAAACTTTGACCTATCTGGCTATACGCTTAAACGAAATTAGACTGTTCGCTCATCAGACTGACGAGGAGTTATATTTGTCAATTTTGCCAAAGATTACCTAGCCAAAATCGAGTTGTAACATTGTCGTGGAATATTGCGTATATTAAGAAAATAGTTTTTTATTGAATTTTTGTTCAATTGTGTTGGAGGGGTCTCAATAAACCTCAAGAGTACCTAGTGTGAAATACAAGAGTCCAAAGTTATTATTATAGGTTTGTGACCATTGGATAAAACATTAAAAAAACAGGTTGGGTCAACCAAGCTTTAATTTAAGTATGCGAAAATGCGGGGTTGCTTTTATATATTTACTTTATTGAAGGATTGCTCTAAGTTAGGAAATGCGGGACCCTTCACTCCGATTGAAATTTTAGTGACCCCTCTATCACAATAGTACCAAGTTTTTAAATTTATATATTCATTTTTTTCTTCGTTTTCGTTTTGAGTGAAAAGGACGGAACTAAAATGATAATCTGATTGCAAGCTTATACACAGAGGCTAAGCTTTGCTTCGCAAACACTAGCGATAACATGACAAAAAGTAGCTCTATAAAATGCAATAACAAAACGTAGAAATAAGCCTCGAATTAGTAAAACTTCGGATACGACTCGGATTCGAACCTTCGCACTACAATGACCATATATTATGAATCTAACTCATTAACCGCTCAGCCACGGACGCCCAATTTCTGAAAAACACTAGCCACAAATAAAGCAGAGAACACATGCTATCCAATTTCCAGTGCTATACAGTTAAACTTCAATTCAAATCATATCACGCCTTAAATTTTTTTTAATTGATACGTCATTCGACGCTATCTGACGTCCATGTTTTTAACAACACTCAGAAATTTTGTGGATAATAACCTAATTGAGTGAGAAAAGTTGCCTTAATATTGTCATTATAATACATTGTTGTTGCAAGTTTAGACCATGAAATTGATAAAATTGTCGCTAAATAATCACTTCTTTCAGTAAAAACAATGCAGTAAAAATCATTATAATCAATTATATTCCTCTTAAAATCCATTATAATTTTTTTCAAAACAGCTTCTGTAGAACTCGCCTGGTAGAAATCTAGACTAAGCCACCTCTCCCTTCAAATTCAACCCCCACTCGTTTTCAACGGGGGCTATTTTCATGATGGAGGGACCAATCCGAATCGTTAGTCGTTTCTATTCACTGATAATTTTGCACAAAATCGAAGTCGAAAAAAGCATTAACTGATTTAACAGCAAGTTTTGCTGTACAATTTGCACAAATATATCGAGTAAATCAATGGGTTTTTTCAAATTTTTTGAAATCGGCGTCCTTTAAGTAATAAGTTTTTACATTTCCATTTTAGATCAGATACTATTTGAAAATTCATTTTTCTGATTACTTTGCAGTCGGTCAATTTTAGTTTTGATGGCCTGAATTTCTTTGCCTTAATTAAAACTTTCGCGATTTTATTGAGAATTTTGATTTTGAATACTCAATTCTGATTGGCTGAAACGAACTGAAAAAAAAAAATTCCAGCAATCAGTCCTTCCATCATGAGGGACGCCACAATATTCAACATTTCAACATCCCACCCCGCGTTCAACTCACTCACCCCCTGTTCAACCACCCCAACACAACGTTCAACATTCCCCATATTCAACGCGCTCTACTCCACAAACACACCTTCCCCGTTCAATCACCCCTCCCTTTCTTCAACGTTCAACGACGAACCTCTTCCCCCACGTTCAGTACCCAGCCCCTGTTCAACCACCCCTCACCCCAACGTTCAACATTCTTCCCCCACGTTCAACCGCCACCACCCCTTCTCCTATATTCGACCTTTAATCACCCCGTTCAACCACTCCCTTCTTTTATGTTCATCTACAACAACACTCCCTCTCATATGAGCTTCAGTTAGGGGGAGAAGTAAATGCGTGGGAGGACATAATTTAGCAGTGGGGTAAAAGAAGGTCAATTGAAAAGGTATCTCGAGAGAATAAGACAACAATTAATTTTATATAAGCCTTAAGCAAATCTCAATTAAACGAACAAATGTAGAAAAATTTTTCGAGCTGGGACTTTCTCAATTAATGGGATCTCCGCAGAACAATGATTTAGAAAGATTTTCTTTTCAAAATGTGCGTTACTTTTTTTCCACATGCCGGAGCAAGTGATTTGTAAACGGGAACTATACTTTTTTCCCCCAAGAACAACTTCACTCACAATTGAACTCGCATTATTATTGAACCTTAACAACTTCTAAGAGAGAATTTTTTATTATGTGCGTTATTTTTTAACACCTTGCGAGAGCAAGTAATTTGTAAACGGGAACTAGACTTTTCCCATAAACAATTTTGCTCACAATTATGTAGAAATTGAATTTATTTTTTGTTGAACTTTAGCAACGTGTAAGTTCCTTACCATGTGGTCTAGAGGTAACGCGGTCATCTTTTCACCCTAAGGTCTGGGGTTCGAGTCCTGGTCGGAACTTGTTTGTTTCAGTTTGTATGAAATTGACTTTTTTCGGTAAAAATGTCGGACTTTCTTTTGTCTGCTCAAATTTAGTCCGCTTAGTAGCCATATCGAGAATTTTATGTACTGTAAGCAAGTTTCATTGTAGTTACAAGTGCTCTTCATTGTAGTTTCAGGAGGGACTTAAAACGTGGTTCCGTTGCTTATGATTTCTTTCGAATTCTTATGTTTTTTTTAATTGATTTGTTCTATCGCAAGTGGTGCGAAGCTCTGCTTCCCCTCAGTGTGTAAACTTAAAAAATCTATAATTTTTTAAAATAATTTTTCAAACCTTACTAAAGAAGAAACTCTTTGCCTTTACAATTTTGGTGCAAACCAACTTATGAATAGACCATAATATTAATAAAAACTTGCAAATGCACTTTTTTGCCAGACTTAATTTTTAAAACATTTGGTTATGACAGCTTTTTTTTGCCTTTCTGAGAAAATCTGAAAATATTCTTTAACTACATTCCTTCATTGTTCCACTCCACCTTTGTGCCTCAATAGTTAAGAAACTGTATTTAATTGTTCTTTTTCACACAAAAATGTTTCATCCGTGTTCCGACACAAGACTTAAATTCCTTGTTTAACAAAACCACAAAATTTTTCAGAGGTTGTTGTTCTCATGCATCATAAACACGCTTAAAAAGCCCTCTGAACAATGCAAGGAGATAGTTGCTTCGCAAGGAGCACAAAAATTAGTTTGAATTATGTTTGAAAACAGTTAAAAAAAAGACGAAGGAAAAACCTCTCAGATGTCAAATGGTTAACATTTTCCTGTAATCAGTTTGACAAATTTTGAAAATCCGGATGAAGTTTTTTTGAGATACTTTAACCTGCGTGGCCACGCAATTGTGTTGATTTTGCAATAAAACTAGATGCACAGTTTGTTTGAAATGCAATTAATATATTCGAATGCAATTAATATATTCGACATCAACAAAATTCATAATAACAGGTTTTAATGGAGAATAATCAATTATAGCCATTTTAAGCCCACTTGACCTTTTAAAGCTCAAGCTATAAAAGTTTTCAAACACTAAATGTTCAAAAAAATCAATAGAATTGTAAAGTCAAGGAGCACCTAAAACCCTTCATTTTGAAAAAAATTACCAGGTAACAGAAAAAATGCAAAAATTTTTTTTAAAACACAAGTACAACCTAACTAATGGAAAACAATTTATCGCATTTCAAAGAAACCGTGCGTTTGCCTAACCACGTAAAATAAGGTATCTCAAGAAAAAAACGTATGTCACGGTAAAAGCTCAAAAGCTATTCATTCGACGTCTCAGAGGTTTCTTCTTTTAAAGTTTTTATTAATTTTATGATCTATTCGTACATTGGTTTGCACCGAAATTTTAATGGAAAGATTTACTTCTTTGATAAGGTTTGGAAAAAGGCAAGAAAAGTTTTTTAAGGTGAACGAGATCTTGGCACCACAGTTTGCTCAGAGAAAAAAAATCCTACTGCTCGTAACTAAATACAGCTCAAAAAAGTAATGCAGCTTCAAATACGTCAAAACATAGATACAAAAAAGATAAATACAAAAATCGGTTTGAAAATAAAAAACTGATACTACGCACCCGGATTTCGAACCAACAGTCACCATTTTTCACCACTAATAGCTATGGCCTCTTTCGATAAACTACTTTCGCGTTTATTTTATTCTTAGGGATCAGTTAGCAGATTAATGCATAAACTTCGCGCAATCCGTGCACTAAATTATGCGGCTTCCGTTAAAACAAGTGCACTGACTATATAATACTACGCTCACTTAGGTAAGAAAAAATTCTTTACTGCCGTTTACAACATCCAGGAATTGAACCGCAAAAAATCTAAAATCTACAAAGTACAGTTTGAATATACCTTTGAGAAAAAGAGCACTTTGAATAAGCCTTTTCAGTTTTTTTTAACTGACACAATTCCATAAAGCAGATGAAACAATGATGGTAAATTTAGATGAAGATATCATTAGTTTATCAATTATATTAACTATTAACACGAACAATTAGTCATTACTCATGACACCAGAACGTGAACAGAGCTGAGGAGAGACAAAAGAAAAAAATGACTCACGCTGACCAATCGGGTGTTTCGTCGCCGTTTAAACCAAAGAAAGATCGAACTTACACACTATTTTCCAATTAAAATTAATGAATAAAAGGTATAAATGGGAAAAACACATATTTTAGAATTTCATGCTGAATATCTGGTATTAATATGCTATCAATTTTTTCGAGAACATTGAGTCCTAACACAGTTTAAAATTTTGAACACATTTGTAATATCACAGAAAGATGGATACCAGACATATCTAACATTTTAATGCTATAATAACCAGCAGAATTAGCTTTAAGCCAATAAAACAACTGAGTAAATATAAAAAAACAGCATTGATTAGCATTGAACAATATTTTAAAAAGACCCTGCAGTTTTGAGCAATTTTAATTTTCCTAAATTTTTATAAAATTATTACACTATTGTATCTTCCCTCCCTAACTTCATTGTGTCAAAACTTTAAGCATTTTTGATTTTCTTTTTTGCGTTAAAATTTTTATGTAACTTCATATTTCCTAATTTTGTGCTAGAATTTTAAAGCAAGTTAAATAGATCTTTTTTTAAGAATAAATGCGTGTTATTCAAGAAACATTTCAGTAAACGAACTCAAGTAAATAGAACAAAAATCCTTACTAATTTTTGAAAAATCTGAACTTTCAAGTTTTAAAGCAAAAACTTCAAGAACAATTTATGGTAGACGCTTTTTTGATAAAATTATTCCAATATGAATAAACTGGGTCAAAATGCAACCTGTAAATTCCGCTGGAAATCAAAAAATTTAATCCCTCTTTTGATAAGCCGTTCACAATTTTTCAGCAGATGAAATTAAATTGAACCCAAAAAGTGCAAATATATCTAAGTGCATTCAATATTTCATTGATATGTATGAATGCAAATCCGTAGTTATTAGAGCATTTCGAGACTTTTTCCTGAAAAGAAAAAGAAAAAATAACAGGGACCTTTATAAGAGTCATCACTGAGTTCATTGACTCTTAATAACTTCTCGGCGCTTTAGCATAAAAACAAAAATTCTTATGCAGAGGTTGAGCTGCCCTTGGCAAATACAGCCGAAAAACGGCAAACGGAGCTTTATTATTTGAGGAAAACATAAAATGATCAAAAACCTTGAACCTAGCCAACTGACAGTTGGAAAACAGTAATGAACGCAAGTAAACAGAAAAAAACTGAAATTGTTGAAAAAACTTTGAAATTTCAAAGAAAAAAAAAGATTTCCTTTGAGCTATTTGAAATTGTAGAAAAATTAACGACTGGCCCTTTTTTGATTACCATAACCCAACTTAAGAAAAGTGGATCAATAGATAAAATTTTTATTCCGCTGGAAATCTAAGAATTAAATTCCTCTTTCGAAACTAGAAATTGTTCACGATTTTTTGCGCCATTTCTGCGTTCATAGTTGGAGAGTGCTATTTTCGTAACTATCAGCAGATGAAATTCAATTGAACTAAAAAAAAACAAATATACCTAAGTGCATTCATAAATCTTTCATCTAGCTGCATTTGGTCGATCGAATTAATTCATATCAAACAAGCTATTAAGAAAAATAAAACGAGGTTTTAGACATTGACAACGAAATAAGACTAGATTAATTGAGCTGAATTTACTGATCAAAGTTATGCAACATGCCTTGAAAAATAACAAAAAAACCTTGAATAATAAAACTTATGCTATGTGTCAGACTCAATCCTCCGACCAGAAAAGTTGGTATCTCGTGTTTTCGTGCCTGCGCCGCAAGCACTTAAATATAGTTAACACTAGCCACTTATAATGCAGCTACAGATGCTAATTATTTCAATTTTATGCAACAAAAGTTTCCTACGTGCAGCATTGAAACTCGTAGATTCATGTCATTCTAACTATGCCACAACCTGAACAACCAGCCCCAGACAATCAGCTAAACAATCAGCACTAAACATCAGTCGCTGTCGCTAAACAATCAGCGCTAAACCTCCGCCCAGAGTCTCACGTTAATCCAACTATGCCTAAGCAATCAGCAAACTCTAATGCTACAGAACATGATTATAGCAAAAAAGCCATCAAATGGTCATTTTTATTTGTGAATTCTATTGGAAAAAAAATAAATAAATTATTTAACAACGCTCGCTAGCTCGCATGGGTAAAAACAGAAGCGAAGTTGCACTTCGCATACACAAGCAAAAATATGACCGACAACGCTACTGGGAAAAACTGAATGAGTAAAACTTTAAGTCTACAAAATTTCTTAAGTGACGCACGTCAATTATTAGTCTACATAATTGCTAAGTGACGCAAGCCAATTAAGACGCATTAGCAGTACCAGTCAATTTGAAAAGAAATTTACCAACTAACATGCCTCAATAGAGCGGACGCATTCTAACTAGTATACGAATAAGTTCATTTCAAACATGCGACCCTACTGAGGTTCCAAATCTCTTATTTTGCTACTGGTCTCCTTCCCTACCTCTACGCTACAGAATCATAACACCTTGAGGCTTAAGTGCTATTTGTAATACAATAGTGTGTGTTAATATCCTTAGCATTTGCTGTACCTAATCGCTGGTTATTGATCTTATGCATATACTGCAATAAAAGGGCATTTTCAAAAAGAGCACTAATATTTGCGACTTGGGTTGGAAAAAAGTGAGTTCGCAATATCACACAAGCTTTGCTTGTGTAAAAACAGGCGATGGAATCATTTTTGAAAAATGGACTAAAAACGAGTTTTTCTCAACATTTTTTATATCAGATAACATCAATCCTTCAGACAGTTTAATACATCGGGCTCTCATTACTTCCTTGTTGCTAAAACAGAGTTAAACCGTAGTAAGAAAATGAAAATCGCAGGAAAAAATCTCAACTTCAAAATTGCTTAAACAGAAAAAAAATCATAGAAAGCATCATAGCCAAAAAAAGTTTCGACAATTGAAATTTCTGAAGCAGAACGTTTTCAATTTGCAACAATTGCGGTTCATTGCCGGACTTGAACCCCTAGATTTTGTCGTCTCAAGCCTGTGTGTCAACAATAATAGGGCCAGGGTACTTTAAGGTAATAACTCGTACAAAAACTTAATTTTCAAAATAAATTACAAGAAATAGACACTATTTGAGAAAAAATACAAATGCAAAACTAAAGTGGCAACATTCTGCCCACCTCGTAGAGGCATTAAAAACAAGCAAACTTCAATATGCTTACATTCTAGTTAACTAAAACACATCAGTGGAAAAAAGTTTATCTTATTTGTTTTCTAGTAAGTCCAGTATTCAAGGTTTTCCAAGATATCAGCCTGCTGCAACTAACAACTACATATGCGAAGAATCATACGCCCAAATTACACTAGAAGAATCCTGGATATTTCCACTCGATGTGATTATAGGCTGACCGTCGCCGCCCAATATTGAGTTGCTTTGTATATCTAATCTGGTAGATTCAGCTATGGGTTGTTGCTGTTGGCCGTCTAACGATAAGACGCCATTTGATGAATTGCTCTGCTGAATTGGTATTAAAGCTAAAGCAAAATTAAGTTCAACTAATAATTAGCAAAGTAGTTCCAATTTGACCGAGAAAGATCTGATATTTTGGAAAAGATTGGGGAATGATTTTCAAAACTTAGCCACTAACACAAAAAATAATTGAGACAAATTATGAAAACCTACAAAAAGATTTATATTGAAAATCTATCTTCACGCATGTCGGTTTGAAAAAACTATTATGATTGACACCCAGAAAATTAACTTCATTTGAGAAAGCAGCTAAACATGACTTCCAACAGTGACTTTTAAAATCAAACCGCCTGAGCAAAGTTCGGTCAGCAAAAAAATGAATTAAAAAAACGGCTTAACTATCAACCCCCTGGATAATTATATGGATAACTATAGTTCAAATTAGTTTTTTAAATTTTCGGTTTCATCGAAAAAAATACATCACCAGAAATCTCTACCAGTGCAAAAAGATTTTGATGATTCACAATTTGTTGATAGAAAAAGCCCGATTTGAGCAAAATCCATTACTTTGCACGTAAAAATCAAGAGCTATTTCCATTTATTTTCGAAGAGACTTCGTTTAGCTCCATTTTAAAATCAAATTTGAAAGTCAAGCTCCAAATAAATCGGAAAACAAACGAAACAAGGATAGCCGGTTTCTGTGCAAGTAGCACAGAATGTTCCCACCATAGTCTTTAAAAAACTACGGTTGAGAAAGAAAGGATCTGACGTAAAAATATAATTTAGGCATATTAGACAGTCATAGTAACACAGACAAAACGGATAAAAATTTTTGTAGAAAAACGATTACAAAAACTTTTTAAAAAATTGAACTTTTTGAAGTTTTTCTTTTCCAAAATGAAGCTTAAAAAACTCCAAAAACTAGTTTTACTTGCTTAAAACTAAGTTTTAAGGTCTTAGATTAGGCATAATTAAGCTGTTGTAATCCTGCTCGCTTGCTTTATTCGCTCGAATTAAGAGGAAAACAAAAAATTTCAAACCGGTTTTTCTCGACACTGGGAATTTTTTAATGTGGTTCGAACCACGACTGAAAGGGCTTTAATATGACATATCACTCAACCCAGTCCGATGATTAATTGTGGTACCTAATTTTGCGTGGAAAACAAAAACAAAAAAAATTAAAACACACCCGAATACAAAGTTCCTCCCCATTTTCGAAGGTCGGATTAATAAATCGGAAATGTCACCTAGTATGTTCTAATTAAACTCATAATGTATCGACTTGTTTATGATTTTTTCATATTGTGTTTTTTACTCAACAAAGTAATTCACTCGACAAAATTTTTGTTCCGACCATTGAAGTTTTTTTAGTTTTTTCTTTTGTTTGTTTTCGACGCAAAATCAGGGTACCACAAAAAATCATCAGACTGGGTTGAGTGATATATCATATTAAAGCCCTTTCAGTCATGATTTGAACCACATTAAAAAAAAATTCAAAAAAATTCTAGCGTCGAGAAAAACCGATTTGAAATTTTTGATTATTTAGCTTAAATTAGCTTATTTATGCTTAATTTAAGCCTTGAAAATTTATTTTTATTCAAGCAATGTTAATTTTTGGAATTTTTAGCTCCCAATTAGGTATCAAAAAGATTTCAGAAACAAAATTTGCAAAATTTATAAAAACTTTTTTGAAAATTAAAAACATTTTTTTTTCGTTTTTCTGCAAAAACTGTTTTTTCTATATGTCTGTTTTAGCATGACAGTCAAATATTGCTAAGTTCTAGTTTTTTGCTCAGATCCTGTCATCTCTCCACGCAGAAAAAACGACATTAATTTGAAGAAAAAAAAAACTTTTTTCGTACTTTTAAGACTATGGTATGGTCGGAAGTTCTGTGCTACTTGCACAGTAACCGGCTACCCTTGCTGATTTTTAAGCTATTTCTAGCGCAAGCTAAATTTTGTGAAATAATTCATCTCGAAACACATGGCACAAGAAAGAACTTAATTGAAAAACAGTAAAATATAGCTGGGGTATACTTCGATTTGTTAACTATTTAATTCACACTCTCCAATATTCTGATAGAAAAATATGCCAAGTGACCGGCTTTTGAAATAAACAAAAGACAGGAGATTTTTGATAAAATTTCCTCGTTTTAATCGGATTTATGCATTGCAATGAATTCATTTACCTTCAAAAATGTAATTCAACTAAATCGCACTTAATTCATGATGATTTGCAATCCGCAAAACCAAATTTGCAATTTATAGACACCGGAAATGTGGCTTCGTTATATAACACGAACCTTCGCTTACGCTCTGCTGATTCAAATTCAACTATCATGTTCAAAAGATTCTCACTAAAAATTGTGTTATTTGAAGTGCCGTCATCTTCTACACTGACTGAGGACACGACTTGCCCGTTGGAATCAAACCCACTGGCGTTTCCAGTTAGTGTCACTGGCATGAGTTGCTGCTGGCCTCCTTGTGTAGTTGTCAGTAAAGAGATACTCTGCTGTTGGTTGAGGTGGGAAGAGGAGGAGGTTGTGTTTGAGGCATGGTAGGATACTGGAGAAACGGCTAGCTTCTCTCCTTTGATGGACTGAACAGATTTGGAAGGATTATTTTACCAATAATATTTGCACTCAAATTAGATTGTTGAATTATTTTTACTTGGTATGGAACCTATGTGTCAATTATATCAATATTCTGTTCACACAGGATCCTATTTTTTTAAATTTAAGTTGCTGGAAAAAAATTAGCCGATAGAGCAAATAAGCCTAGAGAAATTAAACTTATCATATTCATTGCCATACTAACTTGACAACTCTTCATCAATCATTACAACTTGAAATACATTGCCAAATTCTGGAAAATATTTCCACAAGATAACTTGAAAAAAGCTATTCTGGTGAATTATTACGATAAGACTGAAATATATCGATAAGACTACCTTATCCTTCCTCGATAATTATTACAAATAGTTTGTATCTTTTTTAGCATAAATTTGGCTGGGGCTAGTCATCTTATGCACGGAGGACCAAATTCCGAAGACTTTCAACAAATCAACATTCTTTAAAATGTCTGCTTTTCAGGCCTGTTTATTTGAATAATTGCAGGGTGGCTACTTTACAGAGAATAAAATAGTTACCTCTCTTTTCGCGAGAAAACATAACAAAAAGTGAATTTTAGATACCAGTGTCTAAATAACAGACTTTTAGATACCAGTGTCTAAATAATACCGATCCTCAAGTAGCACCCTGAATAATTGTGAGTTTCAAAACTAAAGTTTTCTCCTTTTGCTCGTTATGACATTCACAAATTACGACAGAAGAGATCCACAGGTAGTGCTGTACAAACCTCTCTGTACTTCTGCAGGTATATCCTCAGTGGTTCCACATAACTATCGAATCCCAGCTGCTGCATGGCGTATATGAGGTCTTCTCCGTTGATTGTCTTGCGCTTCTCATGCGCACATTTCTCACTGGCCTCACTGGTGATGAAAGATATGAACTCGGAGACGCACTCTTGTACACACTCCTTGGCGTCCTTCGCTATCTTACCGCTCTTAGGAACTGCACTCTTCATTATACGTGCAACATTTGCAATAGGAAGAAACCTGAAAACAACACTGGTTCAGTTGAAGGAAGAATTTTCAACCGACCAGGATAACAGCTAAGTAGCACGAGCATTACTATTCTTTGTCAAACTGCAAGTCATACTTACCTATGTAATATTCCGGCAACTTAATTAATTTTAATCACGAAGAAGAATCAACATTAATTAAAACTTTCATCAGGTTTCGGCATGTAAAATAAATAATATCAATATTACTAAATTCGAATTATTACAGCCAGAACTGCTGCCTGAATTTTCTGTATGTCGCTTGTGCTGGAGTTGCATCTCGGTCGAAAAAAGTCGTGTTGTCGTTGTCGAAACTTTTCATATCCATTGTCTCAAAATGAACCAGCAAAGCTAGATTAACACGAAGGACTACATGATAGGGCAAAATCACATAAAAGCCGAACATTCCGTTACAGATTACGATGAAATAATTAGAAGAAACTAGGTACTGTTGAACCAGGAAATCACTTAATACAATTCTACAAAATAACAAATCAATTTATTGCCAGGGATGCACCAAAGCGATTTCAAATGCAACCTTGAAAGGATCTACTTAACAACCCCCCTTTTACTTAAGATTTTTAAAATTTCATTAATTAACATAATAACGCAGTTGCCTGCTTGATATCCTTGTTTGAGTATTTTAACTAAGTTGCTAATGGCTGTTATCTAAATGTGTTATATATTCAACACCTGTCCTGTTCCCTGAGTGGTTCCGGGGTGTCTTGTGGTTCAGTCTTGAGGTATCCTAAGGGCGGAGTGTCATTGGATGAGGAGCTGTTGAGGATCTGTTGCATGAAGGATGTCGAGGACACTGAGCAGTTCTGCACATTAACTTGGGTGGGGCAGGGTGAGGAAGAGGGAGAGACTCTCTGCTGTGCATTGTGGATCAAAGTAGCACCAACGCCTCCGCCCGATGAAAACGACTGCTGCTGTGATAGGGCACCGCCATCACCACCAGCTATATTCATATCTACCTGCAAAGTCCAAGATCTTACTATTCTTTTAGTAAGATTGTTTAGCCTCCGATTAAAAAGTATGCACAGTGTTTTGGTCACTTTTTAGAGCTAACAAGTTGGTTTAACCTCAGTACGTATCATGGAAGGTCATTTTTTGAATATTTGAAGTTTTTAATTATCAAATGTCGCTAAAGAACTCCAAAAACCAATTTTAATTGAGTAAAATTAAGTTTTCACGGGCTAAAATAAGCAAAAATATGCTATTGTAAGCCTGCCAGCTTGCATTAATAAATTTTTAAAAAGTTTTGATTACCAAAATGGCGCTAAAAACTCCAAAAACTAACTTTGCTCGACTTACATTGAGCTTTCATAAGCTATTGTTAGAATGCACGCTGATCATATTAGCTCGAAATTAGACCACAAATCAATAAATTTAAACCGGTTTTCTCAACACTGGGAAAACGTTTTGAAAATTAATGATGTCGTTCGAATCACGACTGAAGGGCTTTAATATGATATGTAACTTGACCCATTCCAATGATTAATTGTGGTACCTGATTTTGCGTGGAAAACAAAAAAAAATAAAAAACTACAACACTCGAATACAAAGTTCCTACGCATTTTTCAAATAGTCGGAACAATACCGCAAACTATATTGTATGTTAATTATGATAATCTGGAAAAAAAATAAGCAATGGATGCGGACTTTAATGGAGATTTTAAAAAGGGGTGTAATCAAGTTTGTATCTTGGGAAAACAGAAAACCTGCCGAAGGCCAAAATGAACTAATAGGCTCCCACTTTTAGAAATAACCCAATAAAATAAAGGATCATAATTCATCCTGCAAACACGAGGCAGCCAGAAAAAAGCATCTATGAGTAATTATTTCAAGCTGGTCTACAACTACAACTAACATTTAAATAGAAAACAACATGAAAATTGAAAAGGCTATAAAATATATAGCCTTTTCACACGAATAGTTACACGATACACGAATAGTTAATGCCTGTAACACTTCGACAGAATACTCGGGTAAAAATAAAATGCATCAGAAGCGTTGAAACTGTTGCGAACTTCATTCGTAACAACTCAGTCGAAAAAACTTACTGAGTGAAAAAAAACTCTACTGAGTGAATCTGTGAAAAAACGAGATTACATGACTACGAAATAGGAAAAACATACCATTACAGATTACGATGTAAGAGCATCAAAAGATATCAGCGTTTGACTCGCACCTACAGTGCATCAAGCAACTGTTGAACCAAGAAATTGCTTAAAATAGCAGTATAAATTTAAGATTTAGTATAACAAGGATAGCAGTTTGCTGCGCAAGCAGCAGATTACTCCAACCAACTGATTTATGAAAAAAATATATATGAAACTTCTCAGCAAATTTCGTCTAATTTAATCTGAAAATCAAAAACTTTCAGAATAGTTTTTCCGGTAACCGAGACGACTTTCTGAACTTTTTTCAGTTACCGAATCACGACCAAAAGGATACCACACTCCAATAAGATACCTCCCTTCAATATGATACACTTGACTCCCTATGCAAGGCTATCAAAGGCTTTGGTTATCAGATTATTTATGTTCTAATTTCAACAAGAATGGCCAGATGGTGAGCAAGCAATACAATATTCAGATTTATTTTTTCAAATTAGTGTAGTTTTGGTGCGCGATTCGATGCGAGAACTATCTAACACGTAAAACGTTAGTGATTTAGACATTATCGAAAACACTTGTCTTCTGAAAAACACAAAAAAAAACAATTCAGAATACTTGTTCTAAAAATTTATTTGCAGAATAATATTCAATTTTATTAACTAAAACTTCTTTTAAGCAAGGAAGCGCTAAATAAGTGAAACTAATTTGTTCACGACCTGAATTAAATTGTTCTTTTAGAGAGCTACTGGCTCGCTACTACTCGTTCAAAATTGGACTGAAACTCAAAAAAATTCTAACCGGTTTTTCTCGACACTGGGAATTTCTCAGAAAATTTGATAATGCCGTCTAAATTTCGAGTGTAAAGGCTTTGGCAGCAAAGTTCCTTCCCATTTTCAATGGTCTGAACGACAAAAAATTGGTTAAATGTTCGACTTTTTTTATTTTATTACTGAACTGAAAAACACATTTGTGTCCATGCTCCGCTTTGATGAAAGTATACTGGGCAATTAGATAATCTGTGAAAACCTCTGCTTTGAAGAAATTATACTGGAAAATAAGTTTATCTGCCGAAACCTATTTAATCTGCCGAAACCATTTTGGGAAAACATTTCAAAAAACTTTTGCAAAAAATAGAAATTTCCTAAAACTTTTTTCCCGTTTTTCTCGTCAATTTTCTGCAGAAAAGGTTTTCCAACTGTCGAATATACCTATTTTCTATGTTTTAGTTCAGATCTTAAAAAGACACCACACAGAAAAAAAACGATACTAATTTGAGAAAATATTCGTATTTTTAAGACTATGTTCGGAACATTCTGTGCTATTTGCAGAGTAAATGTTTATCCTTGTTCTTATCAATTCACCTAAAAAAATTAAATATAACTTAAGGTTCCTAAATTTGAAGAATATAATTTTATAACAAAAAGCAATAAAGTTGTATCTCGCATGCGCCTCAAAAACCCGCACCAAATGCTGAGCCTGAGTAACACTATACGCAAGATCTGATTGGTAAACAACCATACCTGATATGCAAAACCAATTTAACTTCAAGACACTCATATTTATAATAAAAATCTCATGTTTCCCAATAAAAAACCGGGTTTTAGATACTCAATTTGACACTAGATGAATTTTTTATTCCACCGAGAAATCTGAAAACTAACTTGAAACTAGAAGTCAAGCATGTGTTTCGTGACCATCGCTAATTTGCTGATCGATAGTGGAGTTTGTTTTTCTTTTAGCAAAGGAAAAAAACGAACTTAAGAAATCATCAGTCAAACCGCAAAAAAATCAAAGCACGACCTACATAAGAGTCTTCGCTACGTTAATTGACTCTTAATCACTGACAGCATATTTGGCTCCATAATGTTTCTAAACTTCCCACCAGCTGTGACAAAAATTATAAGCCAATCTTCAGACAGAAGAAGAATTGACTATGTGAAAAACTGACAACATATTTCAAAATCTATAAGATGATTTTTTGTCTGTTGGCTGTTTTTATTTATTCGGCGAAATTGGATGCAGGCTGAATGCTGACGCTTTCTTTTAATGACAAAGCATTTCTTCCTTTTGTATTTGTGTTGTATACTCTTCGGCTTTAAACAAGTTAATAATAGCAAAAGCTTCGCCACACTTGCGATACAACGCAAGCATAGCACTGCAAGCTAGCGAATAAAAAATGAGACAAAACAGTTGAAAAAAACTTGAAAAATGAAAAACTCAATTTCTCAAAACAATCGAGAAACACAACCAGGCCGGAAACCAGACCACCAAGCCGGCAATAGTTATGTATGCGCCAACTTGGCCTGAAAGCGGTAATGTGCTATAAATTGTCATCATGACAAAATTTTGAGCGATTAATTTTTAAAACTTGAACTTTAGAGTAATAACCAAACTGATTGACCTTAAAACAATAATGAAGTTTAACACCACAACCCTACCGAACTAAGCCAATATAAACACACGTCGCAAACTTTCTCGTCGAAACTATAGCAAAAAGCAAATGGAAAAGAGTCAATGAACGCGAGGAAACATAAAAAACACTGACTTGTTTTATGAAAAAAAACTTAATTTACAAAGCTCAAAGTAAAAAAAAAATAGACTTAAAGAACAATTTGTAATTGACACTTCTGAGAAAAATAACCGAATTTGGGAAAACTGGATTAATGGGTACATTTTATATTCTACTGCGGAATTCTAAAACTAAAAACAACTTTCAAAATTAAATGCCAATCACGTTTCTCTTCGATAGTGGAGTTTGCCTTCTTTTAATAAAAGGAAATGAACTAAACTTAAAAAAAAGTAAAGCCTCGGAAAATCAATTTTGAGCGTGAACAACTTTAGGATTCATGAATAAAGAATTCGCCAAGACCCATATATTTGCCTCTAAATAAACCCCGATAGTATTGAAATAACTTCGAAAATAAACTAAAATTACCAAGCACAAAACACGGCAGAATCCGGAGACGCACACGCACAGCTGTATGCGTTTTGAAAACACAGTTAAGCCTCGTACTGGCAAAACCAATTTTAAGGAGAACGAAATGACTTTTTCATGAAAAGAAAACGAAAACAATACAAACTAATTATAAAACAACGCATGGAAACACGCATTTACGCAAGATATTTTGCAGCTCTGCATTAGCCCTTGTTGTTCCTTCGTAACGAAAGTAACGGAATAATTGTGCTCAGGGTGGTTTTTTCTTCAGACAAATTTCGACTTTTTACATAGCCATTTGCGACGGAATTTTTTATATCAATCAAAAAATATTGTTGTCCTAAGCCTAAATTTGAAAAGATATTTCACCTCTGACCAGCTTTCGTAACGTAACGGGGGTTTAAAAATTGCCATTTTGAAACAATTAATGCGCGGTACATTACACGCTATCAACGTGTATTTCGCGCTATAACGTGTAAGCAGAGATTTAACCGGTGCACAACATTAAGGCTGATCCAAGTTCTCGAAAAGTCGAAAATTTCAATAGAAAAAAACAGAAAACCCTCAATAAACTAACTGAACAATTTATATATTTGGAGAATGTGGCAAAAACGGCCTTTTAATATAGCAAGGTGCAGATGTGCAAAAAATAAAGGATATCCGTTTACCGTGCAAGTGGCACATATTGCTCAGTCCACATCAAAAATACAAAAGTTTTTTTTCAAAGTAGTGTCGTTTTTTATGCATGCTGTAATGATAGAACTATATGAACGCAGAAAACTTAGGAACTAAGTCATAAAATAATCAGTTGTCT